TTATTATTATTATTATTATTATTATTATTATTATTATTATTATTATTATTATTATTTTGTTCAAGTCAAGCCGGGGTCAAACCGGACACTTAGAAATATTTTCCAAGTCAATTGGCCCTAAGAAGCTCGCCAGGCCCGCACAGCCCGCGCGCAGGCCGCGCACAGGCAGCCCAGCGCGCGCAGACAGTGATGAGGATCGTGTGTTTCGACTGTTGATAAGCCGCTAACCCGCGCCTTGAATCGCCGATAGTGTTTCTCTAGCCACAACCGCGCCTATTGAAACGGATAAAATTGCAATAGTATTCTGGTGAAAAGACTAAACCAAAGTTGGAAGAACAAAGTTCTAGATTTCTATTGATGTCTTGAATGATGAAAAATAACATGGGGAATGGTCCTTTATATAGGCACCAAATAGATCTAATCCTAATATATCTATAACTCTAGGAAAGCAATAAAATATTAAGTACCCTAATTAACCTAGATATCATTGTGCAAGATGGAAGCTAAATAACTTGGCTTGCACTCCAAGGGATCTTCACTCTCTCTCTTCGGCCCCTCCATGCGACCGCCCGACCCGCGCGCCGCCTTCGCCCACGCCCTAGTCCTTGAGGACTAGGGTACCGCCATTAGCGCGTGCATCGTCGCCCAACGTGCGGCGCACGCTTGCGCCCATCGCGCCGCCCTCGTGCGCGTGTCCACCCGCCAGCCCGCATTCCTCGAGGACTATGGCTCCGCGCCCTGCGCGTCCGTCCTCATCAAGCGTGTTGTGCGCGCCTTCGCTCTCGACTGCCCCTCTGTGCGCGTGCTGTCTCGCCTTTCCGCATGCCTCGAGGCATGAGGCCTCGTCCGCTGCGCGTGCCTCCCCCGCGCCCGTCCTTTCCGCGCGCACGCCCATCAACCCCGCGCTACGCACGTCCTGCCCACCTACGCCACGCATGCCAGCCACGCATACCGCCCGCATATCCGCGTGCAGCCTATCTTTGCCCGTGTCGCGCGCACTACGCTCTAGTGTGCGCACTTCTGCCGTTGCCCGTGCTAGCCTCTTGCACGCATGGTAAGCTCGACTAGCGGCGTTCTTGAGCTGCCTAGCCACTTCCGCATCATTCCCGTCCCCTTCAAGTGATTCCTTGTCCTCAAGGATGAAGTTCGGGAACTGATCGCGCATCTCTTCAAGATCTTCCCACGTGGCTTCTTCAGATGGCAATTCTTCCCAGTCAACTAGTACTTCCACACGATAGCGCCCTGCTCTCTTTACCTTACGGTACTCAATCACTCGTTTTGGTCGTACTATGACCCTACCATCGGTTGCGGTTGCAGGTAACTCCTCACAATACTTCTGCGCTTCTCCCAAACTTCTCTTGAGTTGTGAGACATGGATAACTGGGTGAATTTGCGAACTTTTGGGTAACTCTAGGCGATACGCTACCTGACTAATGCGCTTCAGAATCTGATAAGGCCCGTAATAGCGAACGCTTAATTTAGTGGCGGCTCTTTGTGCTGTTGTGCGCTGTCTGAATGGTCGTAGCTTTAGGTAGACATATTCACCTGGTGCAAAATTTTACTCATGCCTTTTCCCATCTGCGAAGGCTTTGGTTCGGTTAATTGAGCCTTCGAGATTTTTCTTCAGCTCACGTAACATCAAATCTCGTTCCTCTAGTTCTCGACCAACCTCATCGTTGACCGTACTCCCCTCTGAATAATTGATCAGCGTTGGGGGTTTTCGCCCGTATACCAACTCAAATGGCGTCATCTTGGTCGACTCGTGGTAAGTGGTGTTGTACCAATACTCAGCCCAGGGTAAAAAGTTTTCCCACCGTTTCGGGAATTGATGGACGTAGCACCTCAAATACTGCTCAAGGGTTCGGTTGGTTACCTCAGTTTGTCCATCTGTCTGTGGGTGGTAGGCTGAGCTCATTGATAACTTAGTTCCTTGCAATTTGAAGAATTCAGACCAAAAGCTGCTCATAAAGATCCGGTCTCGATCAGAGACGATGGATCGAGGTGCTCCATGCAGTTTCATCACGTACTCCACGAATAACCTGGCAATTGACTTCGCGGTGTAAGGATGGGTAATGAGTATGAAGTGAGCATACTTGGTCAGACGATCCACTACAACCATAACACCGTCAAATCCATTGGAACTCGGTAACCCTTCTATGAAATCCATAGTGATGTCTTCCCAAATCGCCTCGGGCACTGGTAGGGGTTGCAATAGCCCACTCGGTCGTCGTGAGTCAGACTTAGTGCGCTGGCAATCTTCGCATCGTCTATGTAGTCTCGGACGGTACTCTGTTGTCCGGGCCAGAAGAAAGTGTTGGCTATTCTCATCCACGTGCGATAGATACCCGAGTGGCCTCCAACCTTAGAGTCATGGAAGTGCTGCATAATCTGTTCGCGTAACTGCCCACTGTCGGGGACATAGACTCGACCTCGGAGTAGAAGTAGACCATTATGCAACTCGTAGTCGATAGCAGTTGTCTTTCCTGCTTCTATCGATTGGCGCAGCTCCTGGCAATGGGCGTCCTCCACTTGCGCCTTTCTGATCTCTTCCCAAATGGTCCAAGTAGGCCCAGTGATAGCACTCAACTCGGCTACATCTGTTCGTCGGGATAGTGCGTCGGCTACTGCATTCTGTCGACCCGGTCGATAGATTATCTCGAAGTCAAACCCCATAAGTTTAGATACGAACTTCTGCTGCTCGGGGGTAACAATCCTTTGCTCCAATAGATGCTTAAGCGGCTGTTGGTCAGTAACAATCTGAAAACGTCGGCCTAACAGATAAGGCCTCCAGCACCTTACAGCCTCGACGACTGCTAGCATCTCCTTCACGTACACCGATAGACCCAACCGGGTAGTACCTAGTGCCTTGCTGAGATAGGCTAGGGGTCGTCCTTCTTGCACTAGCACAGCTCCAATTCCAATGTCACTCACATCGGTGTGTACTTCGAACAAGACATCAAACCTGGGCATGGCGAGTACTGGCGTTGTAGTCATAGCTTCCTTCAGTTTCCCAAACACCTCCTCACTAGCTTCGGTCCATGTGAACCCGCCTTTCTTAGTCATCTCTGTCAACGACTTGGCAATGGTTCCATAATCCTTCACGAACTTTCGGTAGTAGCCCGTGAGTCCGAGGAATCCTCTCAACTGCGTGAGACTTGTTGGTTTAGGCCAATCGACCATAGCCTCAATTTTTCGTGGATCGACCCTCACGCCCTCGTGTGATATGAAGTGCCCCAAATACTCAACCATCCTCTGCCCAAAAGAACATTTGGATGGCTTTATGTGGAATGAGTTGGCCTCCAGAATTTCGAGCACTACTCTCAGATGCCCAAGATGTTCGCCCCATGACTTCAAATAGATCAGGATGTCATCAAAGAATACTAGAACGAACTTACGCAGATACTCCTTGAAGATAGAATTCATGGCGAACTGGAAAGTGGATGGAGCGTTGCATAATCCGAATGGCATAACAAGATACTCATAGTGCCCCTGGTGTGTACGAAAGGCTGTCTTTGGAATGTCGGCTTTCTGGAGTCGAATTTGATGGTAACTAGCTCTCAGATCGAGCTTAGAGAAATAGCGTGACCCGACTAACTCATCAAGCATGTCATCAACACTCGGGATAGGAAATCGGTCCTTGATGGTTGCAGCGTTTAGAGCTCGGTAGTCAGTACAGAACCTCCACGTGTCGTCTTTCTTTTTGGCTAACAGAAATGGAGAAGAAAACGGACTCTTGCTATGCTGTATTAGTCCTGATTCAAGCATCTCGGCCACTTGCCGTTCGATCTCGGTTTTCTGAAAGTGAGCATACCTATAGGGATGAACGTGTATGGCATGCTGTTCGTTGATCAGAGGTATGCGATGATCAAACTCCCGGTGTGGAGGTAGTCCCTTAGGTTCGCCCAGTACTCCCTCAAATTCCTGGAGAAGCTCGTGCACATCTCCCTGCTGTTGCTCCTCTTGATCTATGTGCGCCTCAGTCTTCTCCACTAGTACGGCAAATATTTGGCCTCCTCCCCGCCAAACCTTCTCAATACTCTTAAGCCCTACTTCTTTGGCACCTTTTTCATTGCCCGCACTTAGTGTGACTTGCTGACCTCCGGAGTTGAACTCCATAATTCATGTTCGATAGTCAGTGGTCACCTTGCCTAACCCCTCGAGCCATTGTACTCCTAGGACGACATCCGGCCCAACCAGAGGTAAAGCATAGAGATCAGCCTTCACCGTAACTCCGCTGAACCTGATTGGCACCTTCCGGAAGGATTTAGTGCATTGCAGCCTCTCACCATTGGCTACTCGTACTTTAAAAGGTTCGATATTCGTGGTTGGTAAGTTCAGCTTCTGGGACAAGTCGGCATTGATGAAGTTGTGTGATGACCCGTTGTCTACTAGCACCACCACCTTCCGATCCTTGACCCAGGCCTGCAATCGCATCGTTCGAGGCCCTCGTATCCCGGCCGTCGCGTGCATTGAGATTTTTGCTTCTTCGTCAGGCCCCTCAACTATGATATCCTGATGTGGTTCCTCCTCGTCCTCAGATCCTTCCTCATCAGGATTAGCAACTTCGATCACAAAGGCTTGCTTACACTGATGACCTGGTGTAAACTTCTCCTCACACTTGAAACATAAGCCTTTCTCACGTCGACGTTTAACTTCCTCGGGTGACAGCCGCCTCACTATCGACCCCACTGGCCGATTATTGACGCTCGGCCATGCGCCGGCCGTGGCTTGGTTCAGCCCCGTGCGTCGCGTGTCGGCGTATCGCACATCCGCCCATCCCCTTCGCGTAGCGACTAGATGGTCTTCTCGTCGGCGGGCCACCTTCATGGCGTTATGCATCGTGTCCGGCTGCTCCAGTCGGACTTCTGCGGCTAGATCGAATCTCAGTCCAGCTACGAAGGCTCCT